ATATTTAATAATTAATTCTGTACTTTTACTAATTTTTTGATACACATTTTTTTGAGATGATATTTCTAAATGTTTTTTATTTAAAATTTATTTAATTTTAACCTTTTTTCATAACATTTTAGTAAAAAAATTAAGCTTAAACGATATTTAAACTTTTTCCATCAATGTTTAGATAAAAAATGTGTTCAAATTAATTTAAATCCACTACTTTGAGCCAAAATTAGTAAAAATTGCTTTCACAAATAAGTATTATATAATAGAATGTCAGCATTCTTTGGAGTAGTCAAAAAATGTGAAAATGTTGTATAAAGTACTAAGTATATATCATATTTAAACCGGTTTCTAAATACAGTGAAAAATCATTTTAAATTTGTTTTATTGATTTTATAATTTTCAACTTTCTTATTTTGCTTTTAAATTTCGAAAATTACAACTCAAACCTCACACCTTACCAGCTTTTCTCTCATTTCTTCTTAGGCATAATTTTATTATTTTTTCATTTCTATATATATAAATGAATTTTTCACATTACACTTAAAATTGACATCCAACTGATATTGTGCTTTTATGAAAGCTCATACTTAACAGATTTTCAGTTTGAAAGAAATTGACATTTAGAATTTGAAATTTGTAAACTTTAATTAATATGCGCTATAACAGCTGTCAATACCTACCAGTAATATATATATTTGATTGAAGTCTGAAAATTGACAAATCACTGACAACTGTCAAAAAATTTGACAGAAACTTGCTTGAACTTGTAAATAACTCATTTCAATATTGTCCATTTGTTGCCTAATTCTGTTTTTGCCACATTTTTGTGTAAGCAGCTGTTTCGTAGTTAGTATTCTGAAACAAGCAAATCACATTAACCTCAATTTAGTGCATTTTTTGTAGAAAAGTCAGCTAGGTTTGTTTAGAATTCTTCGTCACATCACACAAAACTCAACATTACAGTCAACCACAGCATTAAATTGCTGTTCGTTGGCGCAAGCTGCCACTTATTTGTTATTTTCTTTAATTTGTTTTTTTTTTTGTAATAAATATCTTTTTAGTTGATATTATTTTTATTTTTTATTCATATTACTTTTAATAAATTTTATGTTGCAAGTCATCTAAATTACGGAAAAAAATGTAAATAGTTAAAGAAAGTTTTTAAATGTGTGCGCCTTTTCAACTAACGCTATGTACTGTTATTTGAGTGTTTTATTTTTTGTAGGTAAATTCACTTGAATTATATTTTTGTATTTTAATTATGTTTTTGTTTTTACAAAAAATGTTTAAACGGCGGGAAGTACTAACGTTTAAGCTTTAATCGCAAAAAATTTGAGTTGATTCATTTGTATGTTTGTTTGAATATTTTTTGCGCCTAAGTGGCAACTTTATTGTTTTTGCTTTTAGTTAATAATACTTTTATAATATTTTCTTTACTTTCCCAATAAATGTGAAGCTTTAGCCAGTATATTTTTTTGGATTCTCATCAAGTTTCTTTTTAACTACTCTCTTTATGAGCTTTTAATTACTTTTTATTTAAAGTATTTGTATGCATATTGTTTAATAATTATATAAGTTCTTAGTAGAAAATAGTTTAGTGTGGAATTTTTTATATCGCTTGTTTTGGAGAGCGCGTTTTTCAGTTAATTTTATTTATTATTTATTATATATATTTCTTTGTATGTGGCCACATCATTTGTCTAGTTTATCTCGTTCTCAGAACAGTTTTTAAATTTCTTTATTTTGCTTACGCTTTCTTGTATAAAATCAAAAATAAAAACAGAATTCGTATTGTCATTTGTGTCTCATATTTCCCTTTGCTTATTTTAGTGGTGTTGACTTGACTGATTGGACTTGATTGCAAGTACTTAGTATGATTGGTTTGCTACGGAGTTAGTAATGTGTTGGAGTTGAAGTTGTCGTATGTGGTAACGGTATGTACGATATAGTTAGTTTGTATATTTTTGATGATTTTATTTTTTAATGATTTTATGGCGTTTGTGTGATTATTTTCTAAATTGTTGTGGAGCGCTTTGAATATACAAGTGATGTGACGAGGAGTTTTGTTTGTTTTGTGAAAAAAATTATATTGATGATATGACATATCATAAAATTACAATCAAATGAAGTGAAAATGATATGTTGTTAATGCTTTTTATATATCTGGATATATTTCCGTATATAATAAGCGGTATTGATATACAGGTGATGTGACTATTGTGTGACGTGATATGATTAGAGTTGCTAGTGCAAACAATATGGTACAATAATGAGCTAGAATTGTTTAAACATGGGCAGCGGAAGGAAAAATGCCAATATCCTTGCAATTTTGAAATATTAATAAAAATATAATGTTTGGCTTGCTATAATGCTCCTAATCGTTGTATAATAAAAACATTATTATGACATTATTATGTGTATGACAATTTGCCGTCAATTTAAGCTGCTGTCAGCTGCGGAAATGTGATGATGTTACTAAATATTATGACGTTTTGTATGAAAGATATTTGATTTGCGAAGATAACTCTTTTTCATTTTATCATGTGTGTATGCATGTGATTCCTGATCGCGCGATGCTTGATTATGTGATGTATACATGTGTGATTATAAAATCATCAAAATCGAAAATTTTCTCATAAGCGTATGTCATTTGATATCTTACTTCATTTAGCTATAATTTTTTGAAGTGATGTCATATTAAGTGCTTTTGTTGATAATTATGGCAGATATAATAAAAGTTTTTTAAAAATCTGAGCAAGATGTGATCATCATCCGATTTATGATCAAGTGATATTGTAGTATTCAAACAACAAAAAAAAAAAAAAAAAAAAAAAAAAAAATGCCTACTTTAATTGCATGTCAGTGACGCTACTACGAATCTTGTGATATTTATTGGTGTCTGGCAAAACGTGATTGTTTCAAGCGATGTTGCACTATTAGCCCCTTTAAACCCCATACGGTTTTTAAGCATGCCCTGATGCATCACGTGATATATAATCACGTGCTGTTTTATGATATGATGTGATATAATCAGAAAATTTCTTATAATTCATCACTTTATGTTATTTTTCATGAATTGTGAAATTTCAGCTCTACTCATTATGTGATGTTTAAACATAGATTGAAGTGACTTTACAAAATATTACTTTCATTACACGATTTTTATCTAAGAATGAAAAAATCATGCCTTTAAAGTTGTAAGTTGATGAGCTATGAACTAATTAGACATCTTTGAATAAATTATGAACGCTTGAATGAATTTAATGTACTATAACAAAAATTTTTTAAATTCTCAATGATGGCTCTTTAATGTAAATTCTAATAATTTTGTTTTTGTAACTGCCTTTCAATATCATTAATTATCCTTTAATATTATTGTGAATTCTTAAGTGTTATTTTTGCGATTTATAATATGCTGTATTGTCAACTATTTACATCCCTTGTTTGTTGTTGTTGATTTTTATTATTATATTTAATTGAGTTCTGTTTTCTTGCTTTATATGGCTTTAGTTTCTCATTATTTTACTACTGTTAATGGATTTTTAAGTTTTTCACTATTTTCTTTAATATATTTTTCAAAATAACTAATAGCTGTTATGGAATTTTTCTCGCTAAGGTTTTGTTTATTATAATCGATATTGTTCATTAAAATCAATCTGCATTTTATGACCTCGCTTTAATTAGTTATTGCACTGCCCTGCTTTATGCACACAAAGTGCGTTTATTTTACAGTTTTAAATTTTTGTTGTAATTTTTTATTTTTGTTTTACGTCTAAAACTTTAGCTTTCCATTTTGGAAGTGACTTTTTAGGTATGTCATTGCCGTTGACATTGACTTGTAATACTATTGGATACATTTGTATTGGAATATTGCCCATTACTAGGCGTTGCAGTTCTACAGTTTTTGTTGTCAGTGTAAAAAGTCTCATTTTAACAGTTTCCTTTAAGTTTTGATGCCTTTTAGATGCACATTATGTTCTTATAATAACGGTTTCCATGTATTTAGCAGCTTTTATGAGTTTCAACTGCTTCCTATAATATACGAAATATAAGCTTTTATAAGCTTTCACAATTTCAAATACCTCAATTTTGAAATAGTATAAGTTCACCTTTACGAAAGCTTCTAGAAATGAGCCTTTGATATTGAAAGCTTTCATAATTCCAACTTGTAAAAATGGGAACAATCGAAAGCTCATCATTTCGCATGCTAGAATATGTAAACTTTGAGTTATAAGCAACTTTTTTAACAGCATTCAAACAAAATATATGAAAACTTTAAAATTTTTATTCATAGAAATTTTTATTTGTAGTGATTATCGCAGACATCAATCCACAAAAGCTGCCAAATAATTTGTGAAAACTCGTTATCAGTGTTTTTCTTTTTTACTCTATTCTTTACAGTAATAGTTATGTTGTTAACAAAGCATTCAAGAAAAAGAAAAAGAAAAAGAAAAATGCAAGAAAAGTAATTGAAGTGAAAAATCATCTATTACTCTTTATTAGTTTAAGCTGGAAAACTCATTTATATCTAAACTTGTAATTCAAATATATACGTAAGTTTCCTTCTATTAAAATCTTAATATAAAAGAAGCTCTATTTCAAAAAATGTTACATTTTCTCTTTATAAATTTCATTATTTTGTTTACTCGCTTAATTCAATGGTTGGTTGTAAAAAAAGGAGCATACATACCTTACGCTAACACTAACTGCTTAGCTATATACCGTAAGATTTTTGACTTTTTATTACAATTTTATATTTTAGGCTTAAATTACAATTATTTTTTACTTAAGTGTTTTCTATAATTGTTATTACACATTTTTTGCTAATATTTTTACTGTTACACATTTTAATATCAGTTAATCATTAAAAATAATTTCTTTCAATTTCAATCAATTACAATTACATTAAATTTAATTAATTATTTATTTATAATTTATATACAAGTTGCGTTGATTATCCGACAAAAAAATTCTGTCATGCTTTTGCAAAGTACATGCTGAGAATTTTCGTGCTCAACGCCAAGAGATTTGGGTACTATAAATCTCTTAACGATCACCCTGCGCGTAGATGTCCACTAAATTTGTTGTTGTTAAATTTTGTACAGTCCTGTAATGAAGAAAAAATGAAGAACGTTTAGTAAAAAAAATATTTCTCTAATGAAAAGCTATCAAGAAGGCTTACAGAATTTAGTGCAAGCTCAAAGTGCTTTTACTTATTATTTAACTTAAATATTTTGAAATATTTTGTTTTTCGTGTCAATAGATTAAAATTTTGTGAAAGCTCTTAATAGAGCTTTTATGATTTTATGCAAATTCAAGTGATTTCAATAAGTTATTCAAATTAAATATAATATTTTTGATTTTTTTTTGTATAAATTGATTACTATTTTGTGAAAGCTGTTAATGGAGCTTTTATGCTTTTGTGAAAGCTCAAGTGTTTTTAGTAAATCATTTAATTAAATATTACAACCTTGCTTTTATGAATTTGTGCAGGCTCAAAGAGTTTTTATTAAATCACACATATAAACCAAATATAATTTTCTTATAAAGTCTCTTTCGACTTTTCAAATAACATTGGTTTTTTTAATTTTTGCTTAATGCTTGTTGTGCTGCCGGTAGATACTAGGCTATTCGAACCGTCTTACTTTTCTTCTGAACCTCTGCACTTTTTATATGAAGAGACTTTCATCCATGAAAGCTTTAATATAATCTCATCTAATTACAATACCCCGAAATCGCTTTAAACTACTGCATATAAACAAGCTTCTAAATCAAAGCAATTTGCTTTGAAATGCTTTCAACTAATAAAAAAAGATCCAAGCAAACATTTATTGGCCCGCAAACAAAAACTTCTGAAATTTCAAAATATATTTACATTTTAGTCTATTCTGTTGTTTTATTTTTATTTAATCAAGGCTCTTTTTTATAATATAATTTATATTTTGTACGCAAAAAAGTTTCACATTTTTAAAATAATTTACCTAAAACATATTTTGGGAGGAAAATTTATAAATGAAGTTTTCACTTTCGAAAGTTCAAACTGTTTTTAAAGATTTGATAATTTATATGAAAGTGAGCTTTCACGTTTTGAAAAGTGTTCCTTGAAATAAATTTTTCAATATTGTTAAAAAGGAAAAAATTTATGAATGAAACTTTCACTCTCGTAAGCTCACACTACTTTACTTTTCTTAAAAAAACCGTATTCTATTTTGAAATTTGGCAACTCAAAATGTACTTACTTCATTTAATGCCATGCAAAATCCTTGTTTTAATTATAAAATTGTTAAGTAAAACATCTTCCTTTAGTCTAATTGATCTCTTCACTTAAGCTTTTGCTCAGCCTCGAACCTCGGCCTCTACCTAAACGAACCATTCATCCTTCTGTGCAGCACCAACAGCTGCAGCAGCTGCTGCGGCGGCGGCGGCATTTTGATTAGCCACAGAAATGTTCGTTTGATTGAGTCCCGCCGTAGCGGCGACGGCGGCAGCGGCCGGATTTGTATGTGAAAGATCTTGACCTAATTGACGGAATTTGCTAAGCACCAAATGGGACGGACTTTGGTGGCCATCTTCGATAAGTTGCGTAGAATGCGGTGGTACCCGTAAGGTCCCGCAGGGTGATGCCAGTTTCCCGACGTCGGTGGCAGTTGTGTGTGTTCGCGCGACAATGTGCCGCCATGATGATAATGTAAATGCTTCGATGAGCCATTCGTTTCGGCGGTGTGATGCACTAAAGGTTAATTAAAATATATCAAATATTATTTCAGTACTACTTTTGAGTGTATAAATGATATGAGGGTGCTTACTTTGTATTGCGGTATTCTGGTTGAGATTTGATTCTTCCTGCCGTCTGCAAAAGCAAATCGAAATGCCGACAATAACGGCGCTTAAAACAAGCACAATGCCGACCACGATCAGCACGAACCAGGTCATGTCGACACCGAAGACCGTAGCAGCTGTTTCGCCTGAAATTATGCGCATAGAAATGCTGTTATAATACGCTCTTATATTCGCACGACTATGATTCAACTTCGTAAAATTCAAAATGCAACCCTGTTGGTCATTTAAATGCAAGTATATGATTTTTCTAAACATGCTGTCTAAAGTATAGAGAAAGCTAATGAAGCTTATATATAATATTAGGAAGCCAACTTATTTTCCTCACACACCTCCACAGTGTTGGTTTCATACTTACTTTGGCACACCGATTCATCAGAATTGTCACCACAATGATTAATGCCATCGCAGAGTAAATCCGGACTTATGCAAAATTCACGCGCTGCACAGGTGAAATCATTGCAGGTGTGTTCTTTTCATTTGCATAAGCAAAAACAGCGCAAAATATAATGAAAATAGAAAAGAGAGAAATTCGTTAGTAAATAAGCTGAGAAATTTGCATCAAGCTCAGTTTATAGTATAATAAGAAAAGTGTTTGTGCCTTCAACTTTAAAGTCAATTAGCAAGTTTTGCGAGTTAATTTAAAACTGCATTCTTAAACTTGCTTAATTTTTAAGTGTCGGCGTTGAAAAGTTGCCTAAGTATAGGTATGTACTCACTTGGATCCTTCACCGATGTTATGACCAGCTTGAAACCATTCGCATCTGTACCCCAATTGTCGGTGACATATTTGAGTGTGACAAAGTTTGTGCGTGTCAATATAGAGCTGACCGTTTGTTTGGTATTGCGGCAGGAGATGTCAACCTAAAAGTGCAAAAAAATGAAGATAAATTGAAAAAATTTTGTGCTTAAAGAGATTTTCCATAGTCAGATGAGTAAGAAAAACTCGGAAGTGGTGTAATATAATAAATTACAGCAATGAAGCCGGTAGCAATAGTTTAGGAGATTTATGAAAAATCTTAAGTGGCTTAATACAAACAATTATTTCTATACTAAGTCCCGTTAATTAAGTTTTTAGTATTTTATGTATTTAAACTATAACCAGGTACTCAATTCCCAAGGCAGGAGAGTGCAATACAATAAATAAAGTAGGAGATACAGTGACTCAAACGTCTAACCGGATGCGTGCATTGCCAATGATGACACCCTCCAATCATATAGTGAACATCTTAAAAATGATACATGTGATACATCAAATTAAAGGAAAAATCTTCTATTTTATTTTCGGAAAATATTAAATTATTATTACTATTAAAAATAGTAATAAATTCATTCACTGCGTATAATTTAGAGAAATAACTCGCAACACACAAAATTCGTTCCACACAACTAACCGGAAAATTATAAGAAGTAATCTTCTACAAGTCACGGTACTTCTGATCGTTGTGGAATTTCACTAGAACAAACACTGAATATTCGTTTTTGTTTATTAGTGATTACCGGTAAGTCTGTGAGTAAGCAACACAACAATATGACACCCCCGCGTATTCATACCTGTACTGAAATTCGGAAGCTAATTATTCGGTTACGGGAAGAAGGAAAACCCATTAAAGATATTTCGGAGATTGTGAAAAGGAGTACTTCAACTGTCTTTGATATATTATTATAAAAAAGTTTGAAATGGAAAACAGGATCAATAATATTAGTAGAGCTGGTCAAGGAAAGAAGCTGACACAAGCCGAAGAAAAGTTTTTACTGAAAATTGTTGAAAAAATCCGTTTTGCTCCGTGGAAAATGTAAGAAAAATATTAGAGAGTGGAAAGGAAAAGAAGGTTTCAGTCGAAACAATTCGCCGCACACTTAGAATCTTTGATTTACATGGTAGAGCTGTTGTAAAACAGGCGTACATATTCGAAAAACATAGAAAGAAAAGGCTAGAATTTGTGAAATTGTATTTAAAAATTCCTGATGAGTTCAGGCAAAGGGAAAATTGCATAATTTTGATTTAGTAATCATAAAACAGTATTATTACTGCTTTTTCAAGGTTCCTTTCCCACACGATATCAAGTTTAACTTGCAAGGATCAGATGGCTGAAATTTTGTATGGCGGCGTCCCAACGAAGCTTACTTGCCATAACATACTAGGGCAACATTTAAGCACGGTGGTGGGTCAGTAATGGTTTGAGGATGTATATCGGCTAAAGGAACGGGCAACCTGCATTTAGTGCAAAGTACTATGGATCGTTTCCAATATGTCGACATTCTAAAGGAAAATTTAAAGCAGTCATGTGTAACATTGGGAATTAAAGATAATTTTATATTTTACCAAAACAACGAACAAGAATAACAAATCGGTGATTGCTCATACTTGGTTTATATACAATTGCACTCATGTACTGGGTACACCTGCCCAATCCTCAGATCTGAACGTTATTGAGCACGCATGGCAAGAAGTCAGTCGAAAAATGTACCAAAGGTATACTACCTTTGCTGGTCTCAAAACGGCTATTTTGTAGGCTTGGAAGGCAATACCACCAGAATTTTATCAAAAACTTGTCGCCTCTATACCAAGGCTACTAGAACCATTTTTATCTGTTAAAGGATATGCTACGAAATATAAGATATAGAATCATTAGCTTTTTAAAAAATCCGGTTAGTTGTGTGGAAAAAATTTTGTATGTTGCGAGTTTTTTCTAAATTTTATGCAGTGAATAAGGTTATTACTGTTTTAAGTTTCCAAAAATAAAATAGAAGATTTGTCCTTTAATGTGATGTATAATTCTTACGATTTTTACTTTATGACTGGAGGGTGTCATCATTGGCAATGCACGCATCCGGTTAGACGTGTGAGTCACTGTATATCTAAATTGTAATAACTGATTTAAACGGAAGTTAGAGGTCAGTTATTTACACCACTTATGGTAACCTTGTAATGTTTGTTGGCTGTCATATGAAATCAATTCAGCGTTAACTGCTTAATGAAACACACGTACATTGAGACCAGAGAATATAGCATCTATTATTCATTTCTACATAAAAATACATTGTTTTAATTCAAGTCACGGCTTATTACAATGTACTATTTCAACTTTCTTATCTATGAAGTTTAGTGAACAGGTCTCCATTACATTTGTATTAAATTGAAGATTTAATTTAGCATAGTTAGATTAATCCAGTTTAAGTTAAATACACTCTGTTCTATAACCTCTTGTCTCTTTGAAAGTAATTTAGTAATTTGAAAATGTTACTCTCATAAAAAACTAGTTTAGTCGAGTTTTAGAAACTTCTCTGGAGTGCAATTTTTCACAGCAAAATCATTGGCCATAAACGTGTATAGGTAGGAATCACTTGGTGGTAGGTTCGGTAGGTATAAGGTCGAGACATAACCTCCAAACCACGTCTTCAGTACTTCTGATGAGTCACTATAAATATGTGTGATCTAGAGCTGTCTTAATGGAACATGATTTATTTCTTATTGTCCAAAGCCGGCCGCTTATGGAAAATTCCTTCCATTAGACGGACCAATTGTTGCATATAAATTACAAGTTTGTTGGCAGAAGACCAGCTCATGGTTGATGACACTTTGTCAATGCCACCAAACACATAGCAAAATTCTCCTGAACGTTACTCTTGGCTTGATCACCACCACGATCAATGGAAAAAATTTTTTTTTACACTTCAAATTATAAACATGTTTTAAATAATGACTATATCAGTCAAAGCTGCTTACGAATGTTAGACTAGATCGAACACATACATTTTATTATTGCATTTCAACTCATTTCTTTTGATACTAGTATATTAGATACAGCTCCCTCCAAATGATGCATGTCAAGGGTTAGGCCTGAGCGGCAAGTAAATATCAGGCTCATTATGCAGCCATAACGATGCTTATTTTCTTAAAATACTTAACCCATATAAATTTTGTATTATTTTGTAATAATTTTAAAGTCAATCGAAATTTAGGAGAGGTTGTCTGCTGGAATTAAAAACCTTTGCGAAACGATATGATTCCTTAAAAAGATGTACGATCCATTCTTCACTACTATGAGCAATTTTGGATTCGAAAAGCGGGCTACTTATTGAAATTTATATACCAGCTATTAACGAGTGATCCAAGTAGAGTTACTTTTTTCAATAGCCGTTTTTGTCAGTTCACGCGTTAGTCGTATCAAGCTGTCATGTTTTTTTGTTCCGTATTGTTTGGCCCTTCATCATGGAAATACTTACGCCTGATCAATGTTTACAAAGATTTCAACTGTATTACGAAACATAAACATAATCGGCCTACTGAGCGTACTATTTGCAACATCATCACCTTGAGACCCAACAGTCATTATTGGATAACATTCAACCAAATAGACCACATGGCGAAAATATAGCATTATCGACTTATGAAACAGGTTAGAAACAATAGGGGTTCAGCTGAATTTGAAAACATTTGAACTTTTTGTTTAGTCAAATAAAGATTAGAAAACTTATATTAATTGCGTTTATCTTTATTAATCTGTTAAAACTTTGCTGTATAGTAAGTCTCCACGGATAACAGCAAGGGACTTTATCGACATACATGTACGACATAAGGCAGTATTTTCATATCCAGAGTACGTTAAGTTTATAGATTATTTTCATATATCAATGATTAACGTGACGATCAGAGCCGACTTATTCATGACCGTCTGTCTGAACTAGTCCCTAAGTTTTAGAGATATCCATCCAAAATGTTACGCTCTGTTTTGCACGGCGCCTATAAACTCACCGATTCAAATCAAGTTCTTATGTCTGAAAATCTTTTATTTGTCGACAAACCAAACGCTACCATTTCCGAATATATTGTTCATATCGAACCTCTAAAGATATTAGAAGGATTCTAGTATACTAATTGATCAAAATAAAGAACGATATGAAGAGTAAAATGTGAAGAGTATTATGTTAAATGTATGCAGCAGTTGAAGTGAGCTCACCAGCTGGGTGATCAGCAGTAGAACCCAACCTAACCTAACCCAACCGAACAATCCCAGCAACCTCCATGGTACTTGGTATTATAAAATACGATTAATATTTTCAGATTTTGATAATTTGTATACTTTAAATTAAATAATTTTGTTTTACACTTTTGTTTTAAACCCAAGCAGTTCCTTCTCTCTCTGCTTTCATTCACGTCCAATCCACAACAGTGTATAAACTAGTTCAGGGCAGTTACCCTAAAAAAAAATCGGTTACTTAATTAATTGCTATTATAAACTTTCAATGCAAGCTGTAATTAACGGTAATTTCACAACAATAGTCCAATGTTTGCGCAAATACACAACGCTCTACGATTCTTAGCGTAAATATTGATCTGTTTGCACTAAAAACAGAAAAAAAATCAAAATGAGCGCATTACAGTAAATAAAACTGAATACAAATAAGAGACAATGCATAAGTAAAGAGCAAAGCAAAATCACGAAAAGACATTTTATAATGAAATTTCCGGCTTGCTTGACCCTAATTGAGGAGTCCTACTCAGCGTTGCTTGCACAATTTGCCTACACAGCTGACCTAGAATGTGTGTGTGTGTGTGTGTGTATGTATTTGAGTAAACTCGTGTAAAGCGTAATTCCGAGCGACGCAGCTCGTAACTGTCTGCTAAGCGCAACAGATGAGCCTGCTCACGTGCTGTCCTACACTTTCACGTAGTGCGTTGGTGTGTGTATGGCTGAAAAAAGTTGAATGAAGCAACTCGTGTCCGTTTGTCAGCCTAAAATGCTGTTTTAAATTTACAAATTGATTTTCAACGTTTCGCCACCCGTCGTTCCGCTCGGCTTTCACTTTTATAACTACTGTGTGTACCATTTCTTTCTGCTTCATTACATTCTCGTCGA